ATGTTGAGGAATTGTTTCAGGATTTTGCTTTTCCGTTATTCAGGCCGAAGTTTAATACTTATTTCATCAAAAACTAGTCATTTTGGGGGAGTTGATTTTGACTAGAGCAGCCAAATTCTTCGGTTATGCCTCCAAAAAAGCGATAATTTTTTTTATAAACTTGCTATTTTCTTGCACCTTACGCCGAGAATCGCTGCCAACACCGTCCTTGCACGGTTAGCAAACAACAAATAACTTCTTCCGCTTCTAAGTCCGCAATAATTCGTACGATTTATCGATCACAGTCCGATTCCACGCTTTACACCCATATCTGGTGACCTTCGATTATTGGTCTATAACGCGGGGAAAATGCCTAGTGTAATTCCGGCATAACACTTTTTACTAGTTGCTTCTTTCGACAGCCATTCCCGCTCCAAATTGCACTTGGTTGCGCTCTGTCCCAGTTTCTGCTACTTTCGGCCCGACGAGGCAACAATGGGATAATCCTGCAAAACCCACACTGGCAGGAAAGCACTTTATTGCGATCTATACGCGGCAGGAATGTTTCTTTACGAGCGACTACGTTAGATGGCGAACGCGTACAATTATTGACACATGTATCACGTTCACTTTATTGGGCATCCGTTCACCTTAATAGCTATGATTAGATGGGGCGTATTTCTTCGAATTGACGCTAGTGGATTGTTCGCTATCATCATCTATACGTGAACAGTAAGGCAGCTGTAAGAATCGATAACTACCTGCAGAACTGGATAATGAGTCCGACAGGGGTGCCATCCTCTCACCATTCTATACGTGGAGAATATATCATGAATCGTGATGGAAGAATGGATTCTTCAACGAAGATGGAATGCAGATGATACCGTTCATCATTGCGTAAACTGGAATTAGAAAGCAGCAACCTTGGTTTGAACATCAACTACTCGAAGACCAGAGTGATGATTGGACAGAGCTCTTAGTAACATATGGGCCAATCTCAAGTGGTTACTTGCACGTCTACTTGGGTCTACCTGTACGTCTACACTAATTTCAAATGGGGTGGTTGTTCACTGAAATTACCAGACGAACAGCAAAAAGCCTACAAACATTGATATCCCTGACACTGCTCTACGGAGCGGGAACATGGTTGATGAAGGCTATCGAGCGAAGGAAATCCCCAAAAGATGGGAAAGATGGTACAATGATACGAAACCTAACCGACTACATAATGGTTAATCAAAGATATATAAACAGCTGTAAGATGGCCAAAACTTATCCGGGAGCGGACATAGACTCTGATCACAATTTATTGGTAGGAGAATTTAGGGTACAATCGAAGAAACTGAAAGCAAAAGAAAGCACAACCGAAAAAAGATCTCTGAACCAGAGGTAAGAACTCAGGCCATGAACATAATAAGTAACGCCGTACGGGATGTAAAAAACAGCGCAGAGGTCGAGGAAAAATTAGAAAAAATAGTCACAGTCACAAAAACCATAACGAAAGAAATACTAATAGCAAATATACACAAGAGGAAACTCTGGATGACTGAAGAGATATTGAAATTGATGGAAGAGAGAAGGAAGACCAAAATAAATAATGACACGAACAGATATTTAGAGAGACATCAGAGAAGCAAAAGGACACCAACTCAAAGACAAGTGCAGATACATTTAAATAGCACATTCAAAGCACGACACATTTGGTGTATGTAAGAAGATCAAGGAAATAACAGGAAAATTCAAGAAGCAATCAATAGATAAAATGAACAAGTCGAAACAATTGTAGACATCGAACAAATAAAATCAACATGGATGGATTGCGTGAAAGAATTGTTCTCAAATACAAGAACAGAACAGCAAATAACAAACGCCATAACAGGACCGGATATCCTTTTAGACGAAATTGAGGCAGCAATGATGACCCTCAAGGATGGAAAGACGGCTGGTCCAGTTGAGGTGCAGGATGCAGTCAGAGATTCTCAAACTTTTTGATGAGGATTTCAAATAAGAACTAACCATCATATTCAATGAAATATACAGCAGTGGAAAAATACCCAAAGAATGGCTGAAATCGGAGTTTATGGTTCTCCCAAAGAAGCGGGGGGTCAAAAAGTGCAATGACTATGGAACAATAAGTCTCATGAGTCACTTATTAAAATTATTTAAAAAAATCATGCATCAAAGACTGTACAAACTCTGTGAAGAACAGGTATCGCCAACACAGTTTGGTTTTATGAAGAGATGCCTTTTTCAATGTACAGGTGCTGTTCCAGCGAAGCAGAGATATGAATTGTGAGCTGTATGCTTGTTTCATTGATATCAAAAGGCATTTGATAAAGTTCTGCAAGATAGTGGACTTGACGGCAAATATCTACGCATAATTAAGAACTTATACTGGAATCAAACAGCTTCCGTTAGAATTAACCATGCCAAAACAGAAAAAGTGCAAATCTTAAGAGGAGTCTTAAGTCTTCTCCACCTTGTTGTATGGAGTAGAGTCTTGGACCTTAACGGAGGCAACAGCAAAGAGGCTGAAGGCGTTCGAGTTGTGGACATATAGAAGAATCCTCGAAATATCATTGGTGGACAAAATATCAAACACCCGAATACTCCAAAACCTAAATAAAGACAAATAAATAATATATACAGTAAAACGTAGAAATTGGAATAGCTGGGGCACATCATGAGTAACGAAAGCAAATCCAAACTACTAAAATGCATCTTACAGGGTAAAGTGCAGGGCAAGAGAATCGTTGGAAGAAGACGAATATCCTGGCTGAAGAACTTGAGAACCTGGTTTGAATCATCCACCACGGGACTGTTCAGAGCAGCAACAATTAAAA